ATATAGTGGAAGAGAGGTTGTTCATTGGTACGAATGCGTTCCAACTAAGCTGAATATTTTTAAAAGTTTGCCTTGTACATCGCGATAATAAAGGTCTGACTAAAGGGCATTGGGGAAGACTTGATAACATTTCTAATTACATGCATGCGACATAAGGATTGATGTGCTGAAGGAGACGTTATGTACAGCGTTCGCAATGTTCAGTGCAACATCGGACCCGTTGTACTTAACGCTAGAGGCACCACCTACAAAGTCCACAAACGTAAGGAGGAAGATACTGACGTCAGTCTCTGTCTCCCGCCAAAGAATAGCAATGACAACCGGGCAGACGTTGTCGACAGCTGTCGGCTATAAGCAGTTCTTATTAAAACTACCTCTGTTGGTTAGTAGAGAACGTGGTAACAATAAGCAAAATGTCGGGAAACTGGGAGTACAATTCCAGCATCTGGCGTCTTGAGTGGACGAAATGGTTGATCCGCTTATTTTCGTTGCGCAAACCTCGGGCTTGCCCTCGCTGGTTTAACTGTGATTCTATGTCCAGTATATATCCTCAACCAGTGCACTTTATGCTATATATTCAAAAGACACCTTAGCTGGAATGTTGCGCCTGAACATGTGCCTCGTTCGAAGATTGCTGACGTCCGCGTTCGTCAGGTAATTTCCGAAATTCGATCGTACGTCGAACCGGATGTTGAAACATTGGCTTCAACATTCAAGCACGGGCCTGGGTATCTCTAGTTCTTCCGGCTCTAACCGACGGTTTCCACTTAACCGATTTAATGCTTCGTCTCCCAGGAGCTCGTGATTATGCACCACGTGGAACCTGGTTATTCTAAACGAAGTCCACAGCCTAACAACATTGTAATACGCTCCGCAACGTGGGCGATCCAATAGGCTTCTTCTTTTGCCTTCGTTAGGAGGGCAGGCACATCCCTTCTGGTGGCCCTGATATTTTATCAGTATCTTTTCGTCGGAGGCATCCGCTTTCAACGTTTGAACACTAGTATGACCCGGAGGAGCTCTCGAACCGCTTGATGCAATTCACTAGTTCGTGGACTTTCCCACACAGGCGGCTGCTCACACCCACAACAAACTGACCGGCATCACTAACCGTGTATTCGTCAGGTTTGGCAGGACCACTGTGGGTCTCAACTTGCGCAGGTGTATCAGCGGTATTCGAAGCTCTAGCGAGGCTTTCGTATTCAAAGTAAAACTCTGTGTTATACCACACCGCACCCAAGGAAACCGCCGTAGCAACCTTTTAATTCCATCTGGCCACTCATATTTTTCTTAGTAGTGTGCATTCCATATGTCAGAACCGTTATTCACATCTGTCGTTTCCTCCGACAAACAACACACCAAAAAGCTTGTGGCGATAGTGAGGGCCATCATTTGGTGCGGAAATTAAGCTGACAAGTAATACCTGTTGCATCTAAACTTGCGTATGTATATCGCCATAGATTTTCATTACAATGCTGCAATACTGTTATTATTTATTCAATTATGATTACTTTAGCTCTTATCAATACAGTACCGGGTTAAGATAATTTTAAATAAACTTTTCGCAGTATATTTATTTATCTGTAGCTTATTCACTATTAGATAAGTTCTTTCGGCTAATCTTGCTTCTCTTACCAAGTTTCCCACAGATACTTCCACTGGACTGGATCCATTCTGCAACGACTGAGTGATCCATAAGTAGCAAGTTTGATAATTGCCGTAGCAAAAACACATCGATTAACTAAACAGGATTGAATCTCAACGTCACCACGGGAGGACGCAACATACGTTTAATGCTGGAAGGTGGATAACAGCTGACAGCGAGTAACAGAGCAACAGGTGTGCTTCAGGCCAGAACATTTACTTGGTACACATTCCAGTACCACCTCGAGGTAAGTAGCAGCATTTTTAAATTTGCAATAACAATCTGTTTCAACTGTGCGATCGAACCGTTATCACAACCTTTTGTCATTTATTGTGATTTTCAATTTTAAGACCAAAGTTGGTCACATTTGGTCTTCGCTGATTTGAATGTACATATTTGCTCATGCCTTGTTGGCGTGTCTCGTTTAACACTGAGAGCATAAAAGTTCTTTGTTTATTCATGTAACCATTTTAGCGCTTAGCTTTACAGCAATTTTTTCCCTTATTTTGACGGTAATCTATTTATTTTCTCAGTACCTTCATTTTTGCTATATTACCATCATCGAATGTTCAGCTGACACTTTGAACCTTACTTCAAAATATTTCCCGCCAGTCCGTTAGCTGCGGGTTAGCCAAGCTCACCAGGATGAAAATTTATATTGCCGGGGCATATTCTGGACCTGGTCATTGTAGTTAATGAGAATAAACGCTCAAGAGTTACCTGTCCTATAGGGTGAAAATTAGTGACGGGTCTGCTGAAAGGCCAAGCAAACATATGGCGGGTTGGACTCATGTGGTAGTCGTATCTCTATTGGGCGTATGCGGCATTTAAGCAGAAGGTACACCGGCTCAAAATGTGATATCCTACCACACACCCCGAAACTGCTATGGAAGGGTATGAGGTATTGGAAAATAAAAAATAAGAGCAACCTCATTCAGTAAAAGATAGTTGTCTCAGGGAATATCGCTGTGTAGCTCGGCCGGAGGACAGTCCAGGCGGGTCTTAAATAAGCCACAGTAGTTGACGAGACTAACAAGGCAAAAGGCACAACCTGCCGTCGGCAGATTCGCAAAGCGAAGATGTGTCGTCTGCAGTTCAACCGACTGTGCTGATGTGTGAGCCGCAGTGGTTGACCACACAGGTGGGACCACGACTGGTGCAGTGTGAGTAGGTGACGGAAGGGATGTCCAAGATAAGATCATAAATACAGGAATCAGGTCGCCCCCGAGACGTCCATACTTAAGCGCGTAGAGGCCCAGGCACTGAGGTCGTTGTAGATAACCCAGGCTTTGGAGACCTCGGGCCAGTTTTGTCGCACGAGGTTATGGAGATTTGAGTATACGTTGGTCCTTCTGCAACCACGGGTTCCAAGTTAGCGTAGCAAACTTTAAGTGGTGTCGAAGAAAAGCGGCGAGGAGGAGGCGGATATTGCTAGGGCACTTTGCCCGAAGGCTGGTTTCAACAAACCCGCCACGTTGGCAGCAGAAGTTGCTTTCCGGTAGGAAGCGGATACGTAACAATTCGCATAAATAATGATACCTAAGTCTCTTTCGGCTGTCGAGCTCTGGAGGCTAGACGTTTCAATGAAATATATAGGGGAAAACGGGGCTGGTCGAAGGACGCAGTAAATAAAGATTCTTCACCACAGGCCACTGCTGGAGACGGTCGAGGTCCGTCTGAATTGCATCAGCATCGTTCGGAACGGTATGCTTTTGCCGCGGCTTCGCGTTATGCGCGTATAACGGCAGCGGAGACCAAACTTGCGTTTCGGGGTCATCAAAAATGGCTAGGAAGAAGTTCGGTACGAGAACAGACCCCTGTGGAGTTCCGTTTTGGAAACGCTCCGGAAAGACAATACTCCGTCGAAGCGTACTTAGGCGGTACGGTTTTGGAGGCAGTTCCGGATCTAGTCCATCAAAGCCCCCGATACACCGTAAGACAACCGTTTCTGTAGTAGGATATTGTAGTCCGCCTAGTCGAAGGTTTTGGCGAAATCCAAGAATATAACATGCGTTTCTGCTGTAGTAAGCAGCATTTGTTTAGCTATCCATGGCAAGTAGCGTGTTACTCAGGCACGCTCGTTGCTGTCGGGAGCCGTGCTGGCAATCGGAGAGCACTTGTTGCTCCTCATGTAGGCCATTAAACCGCTTGTGATGATCGATTCCCTCACTTTGGATATCCTAAAGAGGAGCTACATCAGTCGGAAGTTGACCAGGACATTGCGAGTGCCGCTTTTTTACTTGGAGAAATAACCCCACATTTCTAATCATAGGAACTTCTAGCAAGAGGAAGTGAGTGAGCAGCTCAAATATAGGTAAAGCTAGAGCTGCAGCGCACGCTCGCAGTAGCCTTGGGCGGAAACCAGCAGTGCCAGGAGAGCCAGTTATCAGCGGGAATTTTCGTTTCCCCAGGACCTTCTCCAGAGTGAAATGAACAGTCGTCAATGAACTTGGGGGTGAAGCCGATGAAGGTACTATTGTTGTATACACTGCCGGCACGGAGAACGTGCATGCGTACTGTTGGCACGGGACATCTGTTGCCTGGTTTGTTGACTTTCTGAGGTCTGCGGAAGTAGCCAGCACGGTGATGCCGTGCTTGACTTGTCGAAGACTGTTAACATGACTACACAGGGCTTTGGGTAGGTATGGAGATTTACGCATAAGCGGACGCCCATGCTCATTCTTATCGTTGTGTACAAGGTGGACGCATTGGTTACTGGTGTATCGGTAATATATCCACTGAGTAGCCGTATGATGGGAGCGATATTTTCTCCATGTCGTGTCCCGAGAGGCAAACCACTAAACCTTTCCTTTTACCTGACAAATTCCCATCTTAACACTGCGATTCTATTTTCTGTACTTTTCCTCACCATTGGTATTATCCACTTCTTTTAATTGATTTCCCTTAATCTTTACCTTCCGTTTTTCTTACTCGCTTACTTATTTCGCGTAAACGTTATAGCAGGGACTGCTAAGATAAGGAACGTGGGCATTAATTTGGTGGACTAGGGTGTCTTTTCGCGTGTTTTCGTTGTAGACGCATGAAGAAGTCGGAGCACGCCTATCAACTGGATCGACGACCCGCTTAAGAAGGAACACTTGCTCGATTCATCCTACCGTTGCAGTCCTACTTGAGCTTGACCTTGAACTTGATTCCGTAAGCTCCACCGGCATCAGCGCCACAGGCACCATCAGAATGGTCATTGCACGTTACTTAGTCAACGTAAAATTTCGTAATACTGACAAGCACGCTAGTAGTATACATTAAAATGCATTTGTATATGTACATCTCAAGTTGTGGCGATAGCATCAGCCCTGAATTATGTAATGGCATCAGATTAGAGCTTTGCTGTACCAATCCGCACGGCGCATTTTCGGTCTATTTAGAGTTCGTTACTTCGATACTTTAGGTGAGCTCGTTCCAATGAGTGTGATTCATAACTCGAGCTCGTTCTGTTTTCTCACCTACCACAACTTGTTTGCTTTCTGCATTTGTTTATCTCGGAGATAAGCCATCTCCGTACGCGGTTAGCGATGTAGAGCCTGTCAAATGTGAAACCGATGTACAAATATGGGAATCGCCAAGATCCAGTGGACTACCGACCAATTTGTCTGCCATTAACCCTCTCTAAATCCATGGAAAGGCTTTTAAAACAAGTCTTGCATTTTTACTTTGAGAAATTGGACGTCATCTCTCCTGCTTAGCACGGATTTCGGATGCAACGCTCCCTGCTAGCACATTAAGTCCTTTTTTCGGTCGTCAAAGGCCTTCAAAGGTCCTTCAAAGTCCTTCAGTAATACATTGGCGGCTACTTGATCTACTCCGTATTCCAGCAAGGGGTTCACATATATGTGTAGGTTACGTTAACTAAAGTATAAGCATGTCATTGTTTAGTTGCTTCATTCTGTCAATAAATCCCATATGATTTCTTATAAAGAGTCGTCGACTCACGTTTTGAATTTTGCCGCGCCTTTAAAATTTTCCGCTTCTTCTGGCACTGCTCCGTTTGGTTGTAAATTCTGCTTCGCCGTGGTGGACTTCTATTTTTCGTGGTGCATTTTCGATAGCGGAGAAATAGTTTGAGTCGGTAGTTAGCCATTTCGACGTGAGTTAGATATAAGAAGCACTATATGTGTTTTTTCATTGCAGTATTGCAAAAATGAACTTTTCAGCTTGATTTCATTTCTCAAGCTTTGTCCTTGGTTTGCCCTAGCTGCTATCGCCCAACGCACAGTTTGCGCGTTGTTATTTGCACTTGCGCAAATACTTGTACTCAACTTAAATAGCTTCATTGTGAGCTTCTTTTCTATTTTGCGGGGCGCATTCGCTTAGTAATATCGGTGACGATATTGCACGACGTTTCGGTGTTTCTTTTAATCTATTTTTTTGTATGTACGTCGCCACCTTCAACATAACCTTTGATTTTCAGCATTATTAATGAGACCTCGGTGTACAAACTGACAATTGCCCGCGCGGGATCGGTATTGGCGCGCGAAAATATGCCTCGGACAAATTGATCAAAGAGATTTTTCTGTGGCGGTTACGAAAAATGAGAACCTAACGCCTAAAATATGTGAACCATTACCACATACCGGTAATTTATAATCTCCATAAGCTATTGCTGATTACCTCATATAAGAAAAAACAGGGCGTTTGTGCACCAATAACATACAGGTACACCGAAGTCTGCAGACTGCCGATGACTTTGAGCCACTCCAGGAAGCGCATGGTCCCCACAACCGTTCTCTATGGCTCTCTAGCTATCTTTTCTTTAACCGAGTTGGCCCGCTCCATGGGTAAAACCTACGTCAGTCGTCTTCCCAGCAATACAACATGGGCAGATACAAACCAGCTTATACAGGTAAGGGATACATTTTTCTTAATATTAAACTTCAGCGTACAATACTGCATCTCACTGTGATAACAATTCAAACGAACAGATTCGGAAAACGGATTCCGGTTGGTGCTTACACTTTGTAGCTTGCATGTCCTAGTCCTAGAGTCTACCTGACTCCTCCTTCATCGCCAGTCCTTCAAGCGATTGGAATGGCATTCATTGTAAGCATGCACTTGAGGTTTTACCATTTTCTTGCAGGCGATATGAACCAACTGAAGAATAAACGAGTTCATAGATGGTAACTTCTTACATTCCTAAAACGGTATACATTTTCAGGTAATGTTCAGTGTCTACCTAATTGACTGTTGAGAATACATACATATGAAGACACTGGAGTATGTGAAGAGTTACATGAGATCGATGGCTGCAACCATTGCCGGGCAAACAGGGCAGCAGGCAACGCCGTTTCCTTCGCAAATTACATCGGTGGAGGAACTACAGTCATTTGTTATACTAATGCAGGATGCATTCAACCATTGGTAAGATTCCTTGATACCTCACATATGCATGCAGTCTAAACTAAAAGGCGCGCATGGAAACACGTTGTCGGAGACTGTACGCCTCATGATGCAGCGTCTTCTAACGCGGTCATTGATGGCGGAGATCAATTAATCCTGTCTCCGCAACAAACACGGATTCCGGGAGATGAAGCTATTCACCGAAGTGCAAGGTAAGCAACATCTTTGCCCTTTCATCCCCGTCGTAGCTGCTCTATTAAAACGTTTCTCCGGAAGTATTGTGTCACCTGATGATGTCAGGAAATACTTGAAATCGATTCGTGGCAACGCATGGGGCGACACTACCAAAGGTTGTGCAAGCAGCCAGCAGGTATGAAATGGTGGATTACTTATTAACATTTCTTAAAAAAGGTTTTCCACTTCGTGGACGTGGAGCGCCCATGAGACAGCATGGAAGAATCGTAACCGATTCAAACGGAACACGGACCTCTGTTGTCAATATTGATGTCCTTCCATTTAATGTATCCACTACTGTGCGTCGGTAAACAGACTTCTTACTGTGAAAATATCGGATTCCATTCCCGATAGCTGTGCTTATTGGGAATGAAGTACTAAGGCATCACTATGAGTGGTGGGACTGGACCCTGTGCGCCGTGTTAAACCTGGTTTCCTCCATTCAGTAGCAGCAGGATGTTACGCCGCAGGAGAAAAGAGGTCATATGGGCGATTAGCTATGACTCGCACATTTACTTTGCATTAGTAAGCGGTGGTAATACTTGCGTTACATATTATTATTAACTGGAAAAGCAGGTATGGATTTGAGATCCCCTTCCAGCGGTGTGCGAGATTGGGTGGTTAGCCAATACGTGGGGTGTACAGGGGCTGCAGCTAGGTGCGGCGTACAGGGGTTTGCAGGTAGGTGCGGCGTATAGGGGTACCGGCTAGGTGCGGCGTACACGTGTACCGGCTAGGTGCGTGCGTAGCGTCGTGGTGCGTGCACGGCCATTGGTCCACGCCGTCCAAGGTCAACCGTCAATGACCATTCACACTCCTCCAGTCTGTCTGTCATTCACCGTTTAGCCTAGGTTTCTGATTGGACAGGGTGCAAAGTCCTTCACTGTGTACTTAATACAGCTGCAGTGGGAGGACGAATTTCGCCTTCAAAATGGTCGCAAAGTCCTTAACAATGGATTCAGGTTTATAGTCGACGGTTAAGGACTTCACCACCCATTTTCGCCTTCGAAGTCCTTTTTGTGCTAGCAGGGATCTCGCCTTACCAATCAGCTTGTTGCCTGAGAAAAGTGGGCGAAGTTTGTGGATGCTTGTCATCGCCACGATGTAGTTTCTGTGGATTTTAGCAAAGCGTTTGATAGGGTTCCACACAAGCGACATCTAACAAACTTCGGCAGATTGGCGTCGCTGGTAATTTTATCGCGTGGATCGCTGATTTCCTAGCTGACCGTAGTAGGAGGGTGAAGGCTAATGAACTCGACTCTGGTCCTGTTCTTATGACCATTGGGGTACAACAAGGCTACGTTCTTGTCCCCGAACTATTCAAAATCTTTATCAACGATCTGCCGGAGGTGCTCCAAATCGCTTGCTTGATCTCTGCGAATGGTCTTAAACTGTGGTCGGAAGTATATCCAGGCTTGAAAATGCTCAAGTTCAAGTTCAAGCGGGGCTGGAACGATAGGATTATCCCGTGAGTGTTTCTTCTTCGGCGGGTCGTTGCACCAGGAGTTGGCGGAGTTTGAAATACTGATGGACCTAAAACAAAGACCGCATCACACCCTGTCCAACCAATTAATGCTCACGTATCCTGCCCTAGCAGTCCCTGTTGGGCCAGTTACGTGAAGTAAGAAAGAGAAAAAAGTAAACTAGAAAGGCAAAAGAGAACGTGGAAAGAGCTAAGCAGGTGGAATACCAAGATATTTGAGTCATTACAAAGAGAATTGAAAAGTGAAGTTCAGTTAGGAAAAAGGAAAGTGCTGTTGCCGCCGAAGAGCATCAAGCTAACGCGCAAAACCCTTAACCCTAGGTTCCCTAACCACATGATCTGGAAGCGAATTCCAGCGATCTATATCGGCGCGACAGACGAGTTTTCGTCCTACTCCTATCAGACCGTGGTTTATGTAGTTGCATTGGGTAACCGCGGAGATTAGGTAACGTAGTGGGACGGAATAGTCCTGATAAGTCCAGGCCAATCTTACTCGTCAAAATACGATAAGTGAGAATCAGGTCCCCTCTTATCCTTCGGTAATGCATTGAGTACATCCCCAAACTGAGCAAGCGTTCAGGATACGTCTGCCCCCGTAGACCCTGCACTAACCGAGTGCCCACTCGTAACACCCTCTCCAAGTCCATGTTGTCTCGGTTAAGACATGGTGGACAAGCCTGAATACGTTATTCCAAGTGGGGTCGACAAATGCCGAGAATAGCTTCACAAACAACTTGGCCGTTTGGATTCCGAAAGAGCTGCGGATACACCACGTCATACGAAACCCTCGACAATCAGCCTTCTTCTTCTAATTGTCTCCAGAATGAAGTGCTGATGCGTGTACGACTCCTAAATCAACCTGCTGAGTGAAAACAGGGAATTCACCACCGCCGACAACATATCGGGTGGGAGGATTACCAGCTCCGCTTTAGAGAACAGAGCACTTCGCCCTATGTATGGGCATCAACCATAAGGTAGACCATTCCCAGAGCCTGTCCAACGCATGCTGAATTGCCTCAGGACCCCCCGGGATACCCACAATATTCCAGAGCTTAGGGTCGTCAGCAAACATTAATGATGACCACCCTAGCTCTCCCGGCAGGTAATTTACGTAGATCGCGAACAATAACGGCCCCAATACCGAGCGCTGCGGAACGCCAATAAAGACAGCTTGCCTGAGCGAAAGGCTACGCCCCATACCCTACGCATTGTTCTTTTCCATCATGGAAGGCAGACACCCATTGATGGGTGCGACCAGATATCCCGTAAGAACTCAACTTAGTGAGAGCCGAAGATGTAGAACAGTATGAAAAGCTTTCGAAAATTCCACGAATAGC